CCAGTTTAATGTCCATATATAGAGCATAAATAAATCCAGACTAGGTTTAGACTGTCACATTAAAGTGCTATGACCTCTTTGTGTGTGTTGCAGCTGGCATAATTTATAGCCAGTGTGTATCATATTCATAAAAGCAATGACTGAAGAATGTATATTTTCATATGGAGGCTCACCTTTATAGCAGGAGCCTCTGTGTTGTGGATATTAGGTTTGGGAGTCCCCTCTGTTGTAAGAAGCGTCTCTGCTGGAACCTGGCTCCTTCTCTGGGTGTTCATATAAAAACACAGAAAGCAAAAGAAATGATAGTTATTCACAAGAGTGATGTTAAATTATAAGATGATTTAGATGGTATTACTCTTACTGTGTTGTCTTTTAATTTCTTTTTTGTTTTGTTGTGGGGTTTTATTTTTTTCAAATCTTACAATCTCATTCTTCTTGCAGTTTTTGGTAAAAATTAAATATCATCAGGATTCTCCTACAGCAAACACCAAAATAACCTCGCGACTCTGAGAGAAGCTAAAGACTTAATTAAAAAACTACATTTCTGTAATTCTTATAATCTTATAATTTGAAATCAAATTTTATTGTTAAGGTTGTAAAACCTTTAGCTGCTATTAAAAGCTGCTGCTGGCATTATCTCTTGGCACCAGACAGGTGATATTAAAAACAGGTTTTCCTTTTTCTGTCTGATGTACCTGTTAAATATTACCTGTCACCCCTGAGACCCCTCAGTTGAGAGCTATTCATTTGTCAGGATGCACGGAAAGCTTTTGAGAAACTAGAAAGACAACTAATAATTTCATACTTTGGAAAGATTTGGGTTTGGCAAAACCATGTTTTTATTAATTACTGTATACAGGTCAAGTCTCTTGAATTTCTATTAAGATTCTTAAGATTTTGTAATAGCCAGAGGGACAAGGCAGGGTGCCTGCTTTCACCACTTTTCTTTGCTGCCGAGCCCTTTCATTAGTCATTTGTAGCACACAGATATGAGTTCTTTAATGGCACGTGGTCATAGATAAGTGTTACATTATGCAGATGATTTTCTTTTATTCATATCTGACCCCCATGCTTTTTTACCTTGTGTCTTCCATACTCTAAATAGGCTTGAAATTATCAGTCTCCTGACTTTTTTTGCAGAAAAATAAACTCTTTTCTGAAGAATCAACAGGCTTGTAAATACCTTTCTGTCTTGCTCTGTGTTATTGAAATATTTTGTGGCTAACTCAACAATGGAAACCTTGGCATGGATAGTTCCATGCTTTTTTATCAACTCTCTTATTTATTTCAATTATCTGAAAAATTCTGAAAACAATTCTAGAATATACAAAAACAGAGGCATGAAAGGCACCTCAAAGCTTTTGATCTACTGCTGGGCTTCTAAAATGCAGGAGACCCAGTTTTATATTGCTGACTGAAGACCATTGTTCAGTCTAACTAGCATATTGTTTTGTTAAAAGATAATTTTGTTTAAACAAATAACTTTTTTCTTGTTTTTTTCAAACATAAATAGGGCAGATACTTTCCATCTATTAATGCTTTATATGTACAATGACTTAATTATTTGTAATGTAACTTCAAAACTGAAAACTTCTTTCACTCTTGCCTGAGAAACCTCTGTGGAAAAGCTCTGAAGGAATTTTGTGGAATAACTAAAAGGTTGCAATGTTTACTCTCACTCTTGAGTTCCTTTCCTCAGTTCTGTTCACTCTTTAAAATAAAATAAATTTACTTAAAGAATTTAACTAACAAATTAGATAATTGGAATTGAATCAAAAATAAAAACATTATTTTTTTTAAATTTCCAGAATATTTAAAAAAAATCCAGTAGACTCATGCGGCACATTGTGCACTCAGTTCATCTTTAGTACAGACAACCTTAAAGGTCTGAGTTCTTACAAATAAAACAAGTGTCCCTGTGATCTTCAAACGATGATATCATAGAATTAACACAGAGAAAAGGACAAAAGGGTTCAATTTGGAAGGCTGTCCCTGTAAGTGTGTGTGTGTGTGTGTGTGTGTGTGTGGCCTATCAGTAATACGGTGCTTTTTACGGTGTCAGGTTTTGGGTCGTATCTGCTCGGCGTTTTGAAAACCCTCCTGGTCCAATCATCATACACTTTCTCTTTCTGGGACGCTACACACAGACACACCCTCAGTTCAATCTACACACCATTACACACTCAGACACAGACCTTGTTTATCAGACAGAATCCTCTGACTTGTGTGTATGTGTGCACGTGTGTGGTGTGAACCGGTGCGCATGTAAAGCTGACAGTGTTTCCCTTGTGGGGTGCAGACAACAAACAAGGTCCCTGGTGGTTTTTACTGAAAGAGAGGATACAACACCCTCTCACAAACACAAAGACACACAGAACTCTTAGATGTCAGCTGCTTCATGCCAACCATGGCCATCTGGTTTATGTAACCAGCTCTGGCATTGTACATTTGACCTCTCTGGCTGTGTGTGTGTGTGTGTATGTATGTGTGCACTGCTAGGTGAGGGGCGAAGGATATCGGTGTACATTTGACCTCCAGATTCTTTATTGCGCTGCCACAACCACACTGCTGCACCCTCCAGGGAGTGTCCTCGTATGTCTTCATTTCAGACAGAAGGAGGAGGGAGGACGTGCAGAAAAGAGCACGAGAAGCCAAAATGGCTAAGGAAGAGGAGAAGGCAAGAAATCACACTCTCAAACACACACACACACACATGTCCTCAGATAGAAAATTAATAACCAGAGAGGATGAGCCTCCTAAGTGACCGTGCTGAGCTCAGGGTGAACCATAAACCATTCCTGTGTTTTATTGAAATGCCATCGCCTTATCTTTAAATCTCCCAAATAGCAGCCAAACTTCCAGAGACACAACTGTGTGTGTGTGTGTGTGTGTGTGTGTGTGTGTGTGTGTGTGTGTGTGT